GAGAGAGAGAGAGAGAGGATATTGCCTACCTGATTTCCCGTCACCATCTCCAGTGTTTTTTCAGGGAATGCCTGTGGGATTTAGCAGTTGAGACCAAAGAATAGTGTAGGTGAAGGAGATCTACATGATCCACTGGAGATGGGGGCAGGGAAGAAGGGGAGGGCAGAGTAGGTGGTCTTCTACAGAGCTGAGGGTGAACCTGAAGGATTGGAATTGGAGGTAAGGAGGGAGAGTGAAGGACTCCTTCCTGATTTCCATGCAAGTGGGTTTCCAAGGAGTGCCTAAGGGAGTTGGTGTTGGAAACAAAGAGATTTTTCTCTTTTTCTTAGCTTTCAGGTTTAACATTTGACATTTAACATTTATTACATTCACATTAACATTACATATTAATGGGTAAGGTTAAATATCTTGTTTTTTAAGAAGAAAAAAACAAAACAAAAGTTTTATTGTTTAAGCTATAATGAGGGCGTATATTTTTGTGTTAATATAACCAAAGCTAAAAAAAAAAAATTGCTGACTGAGATAACTTAGTAACTAGATCACATGTTTTACTCTGGTGTTGGTAAGCCTGCATTTTGAAACCAGACCTAGCTTACTGACATCTGTGGCCCTGCCTATTGCCTGAGGAAAAAGGATTGGACGAGGTAGTTCTCAGTCTCTTCCATGTGCAAAGATAATCACTACAATAACTTTTGGAGTCTCCTTGTACCACGACATCTTGGAAAAATATTCTTTTTTTTTTTAATTTACAAACTTTTTATTTTATTTTTTTAACTTTTATTAACTACACTTTATTCACTTTGTATCCCCCCATAACCTGCTCCCTCCTCCCCTCCTAATCCTACCTTCCCTCCCCCTTCTTCACACATGCCTCTCCCCAAGTCCACTGATAGGGGAGGCCCCCTTTCCTTCCTTCTGATCTTAGTCTATCAGATATCATCAGGAATGGCTGCATTGTTATCTTCTGTGGCCTGGTAAGGCTGCTCCCCCCTCAGGGGGAGGTGATCAAAGAGCAGGCCAATCAGATTATGTCAGAGGCAGTACCTCTTCCCATTACTATGGAACCCACTTGGACACTGAACTGCCATGGGCTACATCTGTGCAGGGATTCTAGGTTATCTCCATGCCTGGTGCTTGGTTGGAGTATGAGTTTCTGGGAAGATCCCTGTGTTCAAATTTTCTAGTTCTGTTGCTCTCCTTGTGGAGCTCCTGTCATCTCGAGATCTTACTATGGACATCAGAAGAAGAAGAAAACAGGAAACAAGTTAGGAACCTGCCACAGAGGGCCTCTGAAAGACTCTGCCCTGCAGACTATCAAAGCAGATGCTGAGACTTATGGCTTGTTGGGCAGAGTGCAGGGACTCTTATGAAAGAAGTGGGAAATAGTAAGGTTAAATATCTTTAAAAGAAAAAAAAATCTGTCCTGGCCTCCACTCCTACTACCCTGAAGATGCCCAAAATCCTTATTTTTTTTTTATTATTAGTCATTTCTTCCTTGCTTTTTGCTCATTAAATGTGTTTTCTGACAAATGCATATATAATGCATTGTAGTTACCCTCAACCACCCTATCTTGTCTCCCTCACACCATTATCAATTTCCCTTCTTTAGTACAGGTCCTTTCCCCATGTTCATGATTTCTTATTTGTGTTGTGGTTTGGTGACCTACTAAGTTTAATCAGGGCTATTTGTGTGATCAGGAGTATGGAGCTATCTACAGGAGCTTGGTGAGACCATTAATGGATGGATACATAGCTGAAGACAATAACTCCCCCACCCCAAGAATCTTTGAAGAGTATATCAGTAACAGGTTTTTATGTCATAATAGTTTTAAAATTTTTTGCATTTTAACTTGATTCATATGCCAGAACATTGTCAGTTTTAATCTGTAGATGTATCTGTTAGGATAGCTATCACTTCTAATAAACGTGTAATCACGGAATCATCCTTTTCAGAACTCAGAGCAGAAGCTCATTGAAATTCTGAGAAGGTATCAGTTGTATGAAGTGTTAACATATGTACATACTTTAATTTTCTAAACACTACAAAATGAAGCACATAAGCTGTTGTATGACATTGCTCTAAGGTGGCATCATCAAACAGAATCTCCTTTCAGCTTAATAGCATCTCTATGGGTTGCCATTTGCAATCTCATCACAAGGTGGCATGGTAAACTTCATATTGGGTTCCTGTAAAGCTTATTCTGATTCAAAGGATCCTCCCCCCGCACCCCCCCTTTTTTTTTTTTGCTTGTAACCTACCATTACATTTCTCAGTATTCTCCTTATCTAAGTCTTTTTTATTATGATCTTTCTTAAGGAAGACATAGGAAATCGCAATCAATTACTGAACAAATTGCAATTAATTCCACTTTGCTTGTGGGTATCAATTAAAGATAGCATTTGTTAAGGGTGAGACATGATTTCTACTTCCTACTGGGACCCTGCTGGGACCCTGTCTGGATTAAACCTGTTCAAATTTTGTATGGGCTGACACAGTCTGTGTGATTTCACATGTAAACCAGTCATTTGTGTCTGAAAGACCTTATTTCCTTGCTGTTGTCCATCACCTCTGGCTCTTACAATCTTTCTGACTCTCTAATCTCCTGAATATTAAGGGAGAGGGGCTTGATGAAGACATCCTTTCTAATATTGAATGATCCAAAGTCTCTCCCTCTCTGCATGTCCAGGCATGAGTTTCTCTGTTAATTTCCATCTCCTGAAAGAAGAAAGTTCTCTGATAAAGGTTGAGTTACACACTGATCTATGGGTAGAGCAGTATTTCATAAGATGCCATTTTATTACTAGGTTTCTTTAGCAAAATAGGACTATTAGGGTTTTTCCTAGGACTATGACTTACTTATTTGACCTCAGGTTCTTGGCCACTTTAGGAGTGTCAGGTATGGTTTCTGTGATCAGGCATTAAATCCCATCAAAATTAGTTGGTTACTGACCAAATATTTGTGTCACTATTGCACCAGTTCTTTGATTAAGTAATATTTCATTGACTAAATTAGGAGAGTTGATTTTTCATCCCCTATTGAATGACATTTTGATTGCTCCCAATTTGTAGCAACTGTGAATAGAAATGTTACTAACATGTATGTACAGATTTCCATATAGATGCACTTTTCAATTCATTGTGGACTACATCTAGAATCATGACAATGGAAAGAAAGTATGGTAAGCCCACCTGTAGAACTCTTGTAATGTGCCAAACTGTCTTCCATAGTGTTTGGATCATGCCGCATTATTATCAGCAATGGATAACAATTGTATGGTTTTCATCTTTTGACACCATTTTGTGTTGCCAATGTTTTGGATTTCAGCTCTTCTAATAACAGGCGGACAGCTTATTGTCATTTTGATCCACAATATTCCAACAGGCCAATACTGAGCCAATTTTCATCTTCATTTACTGCAGAGTTCGGGCTGCGCCCTGCTCTACCTTACTTTACATCGTGTAGAACAGTAGCTTTCAAGCTGAGTACTGCCCTGAGTGACTCCATTTCGCAAGCAACCACCTTCCCAGCACCCCAGTATGAACCATGAGGAACAAAGTTATAAACAACTTAATAATTAAAGTAAATGAAACAACACCAATGAAGTTATCAGGGTAGGTGAGGTATGCCTGGGCACATGGCCATATCATGAATGTATCATAAACCCCAGGCCCATTATTGAACACACCAGACCAGCCTCCTCATCTATATCACTGAAGGGCGGAGGACTTTACACAAGAGAACTGCAGTGCCAGCCACCCTATCATCTGTAACATTATGCATTTATCACAAGGAAATGGACTGTGGATCCTTGACTGCACCTGAAGCCTCAGAACTTCAAGATTTCCACTACGTGACATTGCTTCTTATATTGCCATTTTTGCTGACCCCGTCTTGTACATTGTCTTGATTTATCTTAAATCCAGCCTTTCTTGAAGTGGCTCAGTGCCTCAAATAGTTCTTTAAAATCTTCTCTAACAATTTGTACTAACACGTTATGCTTCCGTATCAATTAGGTAATTAGTGAATGAAATGCCTTCAAAATAAACAAAGTGGCCAGGCAGTGGTGGTGCACACCTTTAATCCCAGCACTCAGGAGGCAGAGGGGTGAATCTCTGAATTTGAGGCCAGCCTGGTCTACAGGGTGAGTTCCAGGACAGCCAGGGCTACACAGAGAAACCCTCTCTCCAAACAACACGACGTGATCTTAAGTGAAGTATGTGTGGATATTTAGAGAGGGGAGAGTAGAGAGAAGTGGGATAAACAGAATAGTCTTAACAAAGGGTGTGTGCATGTTCACTAAATTACATTCTTGTCTTTTAACTATTGTAATCCTTCACAGAACAATTCACCGTGACTAGCTTACAGAGAACAGTCCTGGCTCCACTGGGTGAAAACCTTGAGCTGAGCTGTCAGTTGATCCCACCACAACAAGCACAGCACATGGAGATCCGCTGGTTCCGGAATCGCTATACAGAGCCCGTGCACCTATACAGGAATGGTAAAGACCTGCATGGAGAAACTGTCTCCAAGTATGTGGAGCGGACAGAACTTCTGAAAAACGACATTGGAAAGGGGAAAGTGACCCTCAGGATCTTAAAAGTGACAGCCGATGATGACGGATCTTACCACTGCTTCTTCAAAGATGGCGAGGTCTATGAAGAGCACATCACAGAGGTCAAGGTCACAGGTAGGCCTGGATGCCTCTGAGACTGTTGTGTATTCAAAGCCTATCTGGAGATGAGTGGTTGGAAAAATATTACTGTTTAATGCTCCTTGCATGGTTTGATTAGCAAACTGGACTCTGTGCATTTAGTTTGTGAAATTACTACAATGCAGAAATTGGTTCCAGCATTGTTAAACTTCTAACATATTTTCCAAATAAACTGAATTTAAAAAAAATTGCTTCTTACTAGAAAGTTGGGTATGTAGGGAGATCGAGAGGTTATGGGAAAAAGTGGGTAGGAAAAATGATCAAAATAAATTGTATGAAAATTTTTTAATTAAAGAGAGAAAAATAAGGCTGGAGAAATGGCTCAGTGGTTCATAGCACTGGCTGTTCTTCCACAGGACCCAGCTTCAAATCCCAGAACCCCCATGGCAGTTCATAATTGTCTGCAATTCCAATTCCAAAGGATCTGACATCCTCACACAAACATACATGGAGGCAGAATAGGAATGTAAATAAAATAATATATTTTTAAAAGAAAAATATTCTTTTTCCTGATAATACTTATTTCCATTTCTCTCCAAATCAATTCACAGACTACTTAGTGCCCAATTAATTTTTCTAAATCTTTTCAGACGATTTTAACTACAATCATCACTATACTCGGATATAATACTATATATGAAATATGGACGATGGAATGGCATTTATGCTACTTTACTTTAAATTGTTCTACATGAAAAATAAGTAAATTGAAAGTAGAAGGCTTAAAAGGAACAAATTCGGAAATGTGTGCACATAGGTGTAGGACTCTAGACCCAAACAATTAATCTTTATTGGATGCCATGTGACACTGTAGTCTAAAGCCGAGCTACACAATGGAGATCATTGCCATTTTTAGTAGTTGTATGGGGCCAAGGGCAACTGTGTTAGCAGAGATATATAATATTCTTTTATTCCAAGGACATTTTACTAGACAGATCAGTTTTGACACAGTGCATTAGGTCTCTATACATTATTTCTTTTCCTACAGATTACCCAAAGTTTTATGCCTCAAAAATTATCCTGAAAGTTTTCAGACATTTTATTTTCTCCAAGTTAATTACATATCCTTCATACTATTAATGCATTACCTGTCTTATAGGAAACATTTTAGGAAAGTACTTACTATTGAAATACACAAAGTTGTAACTAAGCTAAAGTTCCTGATAGTGTTTACAATGAAATTCCTTTTTATAATCTATTTATGGCAGCTAAAATGTAGCTAGTGACAATGATAAATTTTTTAAAGTAAATTATAAATTCTATGAGGGTCAAATATTTATTTCTGTTTATCACAATCCAAAGACCTAGCTTAATTTCTTAGTCTAAGTAAATAAACAAAAATACTTTAAATAAAGAGATAAATGAATGAAAGCATTTCCTCAACTAACTTAGTTTGAACATATTGCTGACTGGGTGGGTATTATCACCTTTCAATCTGACTCTTCCTATTTTCAGGAGCTTCTATGGCAACCTGAGTCCTATAGACTTTTTATTGCATCTTTTAAAACTAAGAAGAGCTTTGATTTTTCTGTTGTTTCCTTTTCCATTTCTATTTAGCAACATGGTTTTTCTCTTTTCTTTTCAACCAGCCACAGGCTCAGACATACAGATTCTTATGCATCCCCCTACTATCAAAGGTGTGATGTTGGAATGTCATTCAGGAGGCTGGTTCCCACAGCCTCGTATGGAGTGGAGAGACAGCAGAGGAGAGGTCATCCCAGCTACATCAAAGTCCCATTCACAGGGTGAAAACAAATTGTTCAACATGGAAATGGCCCTTCTTATTGAAACCGGTTCCTATAGGAATGTCACTTGCTACCTTCAAAACCTTCTAACTTACCAAGAAGAAAGCATAAGTATTGTCCTATCAGGTAAAATGTGTGTTTGTTCTTCAGTAACAGCCATTGTCACACATACTTATTATGTGATTTTTCCTTGACTTGGTTCCTAAGCTTTTTTTTCTCCCTTATTCATCACTTAGTGTGTTGTCTCTTATTTTCTTTGATGTATTTATTTTCTCACTCTATGTCCTTGACTATTTTAGTTTGTGTTTCTATCAATATGACAAAATATCATGCTCATTAACAAGTTGGGCTGGGGGAAGAGTCTATTTGTATTATACTGCTACATTATAGTTCATCATCAAGAGAACCAGAAAGTAGGAACTTGGATGCAGAAACTGAAGTAGAGACCACAGAAGACCACTGTTCATTGGCTTCCTATTTCTAGCTTTCTCCACATGTTTTCTTAAATAATTCATAAACACCTGCCCAAGGATGGCACCACCCACCTCCAGTGGCCCTACCACATCAATCATTAAATAAATAAATACAATGTTCCCCATACATAGCCACAGTCAATCTGATGAAGGCAACTACTCAGTTGGGGTTTCTTCTTCTAAATGACTCTAGTTGGTGTCATGTCAACAAAACGAACTGGTATATTTAGATTAAAGTTTCCAAGGCATAACTTTCACAGTCTTACTCTCTTCTGATTTCCTTTTGTCTGATGGCTTTAATCATCTGAAAACTCCTAAGTAAACGCAAAAGTCTAATAAATATCATAATATAAGCGTATCAAGAACTAAACTCATGGGCACTCCCAAGCTTGATTAATTTACTGCTTTGTGGTAGAATTTCATATTTCCAGATTCTCAGAACCAAATCCTTAAAGTCACCCTTGATTTCCATTTTCTATAACACTCATATACACAAAGAAATAATGCCAGTCTACCTTTAAAATATATCGAAAATTTCATTGTTGCTGGAGTCCCAAGACAGATGTGTGCATCATGTTCCCAGATTCGGGTGCACCAATGATTCAGACTTAGCCACATATCCTAAAAAGAAAAATAGGTATAAAACTTGATGCTAAAACTAAAAAAGGCAATTTAATTTCACTCTGGTCACACTGATAGAACAAGTCTAAAGGTATCCTCCAGGTGACAATATAGGCGTTGACACCATACAGACAAGAATAAACAAAAGCTGGAGTTGAAAGATTTTGCACAGTACACTGAATCTTCTTCACACCAAGAAGTTTCCAGCACATCAGGGTTTGAGATTACTCTGTGTTTGGTGTAGACTTGCATTCATGAAGTTTATGATAAACTTAGAAACCCAGCAATTCAGGAAAAAAAGGAGCCAAAGAGATGATATCAGCTTAATAATTATATCCTTCTTCCTCATCACTTACCCTCATCTTTTCATGGCTGTCTAAGTTTGAATTGTCACCTCCTAATGTTCTTCTTCTCTATGTCTTCTACTCACACATCCATGTAGATGAGCTCTGCCTTCTGATTTTCTTCTCTAGCTGTTTCTTCTAGCATATTGAAAATTCAACTAACTTTCCTTCTCTCCTTCAATTCCATATTCAAATCTCACTTCCTAACAAGCATTACCTTGACATGAAGTACACACCCCATCTGCCTACCTGCCCCTGGGACTCCCTATTTCCTTACCATTTTAATTCTGCTTCCTTTTATATTAGTTCCTTTTCACCGAGTATTATCCTATTTCTCTACATGTGTATATTATCCTTGGTGATTTTATACACTAACCCACCCAACTGCTTCAACTATTGGATGCCACATTGTAATTAAACAAACAAAAGCTGATACTTTAAAGGAATTAAATAAAACAAAAATAATATGTTTGACACATGCATCCATATTGGTATCTATCCATGAATTTAGTCAGATACTTTTTTTGTTTTTGTTTTTTCAAGACAGCGTTTCTCTGTGCAGTTCAGAACTTACTCTGTAGACTAAGCTGGCCCCAAATTCAGAGATGCATCTGCCTGTGATTTTTTTTTCTTGGCCAGGTACTTTCTAGAAAATAACTTTTAAAAAAGATGAAAGCCGCAGATTTGGCAGAAATGTGTGTGTGTGTATGCATATACACATATGTATATATGATCCTTAGCACACATACATGTGTAGATAAATGAGGAAAGGAAAAAATTGAAATATTTGTTAACTTATATACATGTGTATTAATGGAATCTAAACAACATGTTTAAAGTAATTGTAATTAACATAAATTTTACAGATTGTGCTTCAGTTTCAGGAAACTGAAACCTTTAACCAAATGTTCCATTCACTTAACATTAAGAAAAATCAAGTTGGATGGCAAAGAAAGGGTTATGATCCACTTTAATCATGTAGGAATTTATTACTGAGTGACTGCCGAACTGGCCAGAATTCAGTTTGAGCTTATTGGGTTACAAGGCATGAGAAAACTAATTCCTATGAATTACATATATGAAAGTAACAGTTAATACAGGTTTGTTGGGGAGGAAAGGGTTTCCTCCCATCTTCAAGCTCCCAGAATAATAATTCATGAGACTCAAAATATTATTTTACGAATACCTACATCATATAGCTAGGTTCTTCTCTAACTAGCTCATAACTTACAGATCAAACTAAAACAGACCTGGAGAAGGAAGAGCCTGAGAAATGGATTGCTGGATTGGAGACTACAGAGCAGAGATTAAAAAGAATAGTTCCAGATGTAAAAAGTCCACAGGGGCTTCAGTAACTGGAATGGCAACCCATAGAGATATAATATATTAAAATAAAAATCCAGGTTCTACTTACTGATACATATTCAGAATTCCAATGGGCTTTAACCTTGAATTCCAGCAAAGATGATTCTAAGGTTACATTTGTTAGAGATGTAACCTTGGAGGTGTCTTTGAGGCTGACAGTGCTTCAGCATGTGTATACATTTAAATACAACAGTTTTGGAGACATTGTGGCATAGATAATGTTACAGATATAATTTACAGTCCTACAAGTCAAGAAGTTATAGAAAGATCTAACCAGAAGTTAAAGGAGATAGTCATGAAATAGAAGGGAGATAGAATATCTCCCAGAAATAGATTAAATGGTGCTTTATTGCCTTTGAATTTTTTAAAAAGTTAACGGGACAAATAGCTCAGCTGCTAAAAAGCACTGGTGTTTAGGGAGGACTGATAAATTGGATCAGCATATTATGGTCCTAATTCCAAGATGAAAGAAAGGAGGTGTGTTATGTTGGGGGGATTTTATGTTTGTTCCAGCCACCATCATTTTTTTCTTCCTCATATCTTGCCAGCTGAATCTTGCTAGGCCAGATCAATCCCAGAATCATTTCTGCCTACTGGATGTCCCACCTCTTATTTCCTGCCTAAGCTGTAGGCCATCAGATTTATTATTGTCAGGTGCTATATCCACTTTATACACAAGGTATTCTTTCTATACTGGCTTATTCCACAAAAAAAACAAATACTCAAAATGATGTAGGAAAATTCTTCGTAGTCTTTAAAACAGCCACCTGCTAGACATAATGACACGATTTAGATAGTGTAAATTTTTTATCTGGGAAGAAAGACATGAAAATTCATATGAAGAAGAGAAAAGGAAAACTTACATAAACTTAAGTTTCTAGATATATTCAGAATCAGGAGTTGGAAACTCAATGAGCATATTAAACCGTGGAGTACACAGACCATCATACTTCAGACATTAGTACTACAACTGTGGGTAGGACTGACTTTATAGTAATCCTTGGAAGCCTACATCTGAGCGCTGAGGGAGATTAAGATCTTAATAAGCTCTACGAGAGGTGAAAAGCCTCTTCCTTTTCACCCAGGAAGCTTATGAGGCAGGATGGATGGGAAGAAATGAGGGAGGTGACCCATAAACCTAGGTATCAGTGTCACTGGACATCCATGCTTTTTGCTCTGGCCCTGTCCCCGGGCTTTTCCCAGCCCATCAAGTCTGCCTCTCCATTCTTTCCCAGGCCTAATATTGCAGGTGGTAGACTCTTGAATTGTAACAGTTTCAGATGAATCACCCTTCCTAACCGAGTATGTCTGAGTCAAGTTTTTCCGGTGGTAAAATCTGTGACTCACTGTTTCAGGTGAACTGTTTTCATGGAAAACCGTTTGGATAATGATGCTGAGCACAATAGTCCTCATGCTGATAGCCTTCTACCTGACGTACTGCGTTCAGCAGCATCTCATACAAGGTAAGAAGCTCTGAGTGGTGAGGATCACAGGTGGGAGAAGGGAACGTAGCAACAGCTATTTAATCATTGCTTCCCCAGGCAGTTTTTCCGGGAAGTCCTAAACTCTTGGATCACATGTTGTATGTCCTTACCCATTTCTTGGTCTTACATTCTCTGCTTTTGCTGGTGGCGCACCTGACAGAGGGAAAAAAAAAAAAAGTTGATCAGACAACTGTAATCTGAAACTTGTGTATGTCATCATTCATAATGGAGTGAGCCATTCAGAAATGTAGCTATCTTTGCATTTTTCCAGGCTCAAGTAAGTGACCTCTTACAGAGAATCGTGTCAGTAATCCCAAATAAACACATTGGTTCAATAATATAGATTTATATGAAATCATGTTGGTCTGTCATGGGTGCCCTGTTGAAGCAAATGAT